GTTTGACTGGAAACGGCGAGACGATGCCAGATTCGAGGAAATGAGCATCCTAGTATCGCCACCTCCGGAGGGTCTCGAGAACTGGGCACCCTGGGAACGCCATCTCTGGAGGGTTGGAGAAATAGGCAGCTTAACAGATCTATCCTCCACCTTCCACCCAGAGAACTAAATCAAACCAAACCACCCTGAAGATTAGCCGGAGCCCAACCGCCACCGCCCTCTCTTGGAAACCAGGAGAACCTAGATGCAGCGTCTGTGTTTAGCAGTGAGCTCCCCACTCGATGGTTTATGGATTCCCCTATACCAGGGATCGGGAACCTTTTTGGCCATGTGAGCCATATTAAGATCGAGCAAAGTGCTTGTGAGCGAAATATTTTTAGAACAGAGTTTCGCTTGAAGTTGACAACAGATACATGCATTCATACATACATGATAAAATGAGGAACCATGATTTTCAGTCATGACTCAATGAGCCAAACTTTTTGGCTTGTGACCCAAATTTGGCTCATGAACCATAGGTTCCTGACCCCTGCCCTATACCTTTGATTGTTTTGTCCAGAATGGAGGCCAATAAATCCTTGACACCTCACCGATTTTGTCGCATATGTAACAATTGATACCGGTCTCATGACCTGGAGGCGATGCTTATTGGGTCAGAAGTCCAAAAAGTACGATGCGAACGTGGTTTCCACGGGTTCTCCTGTCTTGCTGCGCGTCGGAGGCCTGAACGGGTTGACTTCTCCGAGTTGAAATTCGGTCCGCCGGATTGGAATCGTGACCCGCACCCAACTCGGAATGCGATCGTCGACCGAGCTTTGCTACTCCGAGCCAAGGATCGTGTCGTGCTGATATGGCCAGTCTGCATCCCGCTGAGGCCTCTAAGCTTGAAAACTGCAAGTCTCTTATGACGTATTTGCCCCAAGGCCTGGGGGGGGGGGGGGGGGAAGGCACCCTTGCAGATCTGCGCAGAAACGCAGTTTCGCGTGTAACGGTTCAGAATGAAGGGCATTCTGTGCAAGCAGACAGGGCGGCGAAGCGTGTGTTTGTCATGGGAAACCGTGCAAGACATTTGCATCGGGAAATCTGGATCTTACGAAAACTTCCCTATACGCCGGGAAAACTTCTTTCTTAGGGATGGGTTGTGTGAAATCGATGTCCGGCCATCTCTCATCCATAGGCATAATAGGATAATCTGTCTGTGTCAGGTTGTCATTCCGGGGAAACTCCTCTTAGACGGATGAACGGATTTTCACGAGTAAGATGTCAATCGTAAGCGTATGACCGGAGACGATGCTTCCTGGATCAAAAGTTAAACAAATTCGTCCCGTTTTCATGTAATGAGGCCACTTTTCGTCCAATAAGAATAGTACAACACCGAACGCTTTTCGAAGTGCTCACACGTCATGACCTGCACTCGACCTGACACTTGATTGCCGAACGAAGCGGTCCTGTGTCTGCTTTGTCCTTTGATCTTCAGAACTCGCGGTCTCAAATGACGCATTCTCTCGGACCCGACCGAAAACTTGATTGTCGATCTCGCTTCATGCTCGATGCACGGGTCAGATCTGTCCTATCGTGCCGTTTCGCATCCCAGCCAAGCTCAAAATCTATCCCATATTCTACCGTGGCGTTTGCACACAGGCGATTGGGGTTTCCCTACAGATCAAATGCATCCCCTTATAATTGATCGAAAGCATGTTTGTTTGAAATTTTAAAGTTGTGTCCCCTTAGAATGCTGTGCTGTGGAACTCATCGCTACAAAAGGGAAATGGTTCGTCTCTTCAGACGGGAACCGTCCTTCCGCCCTCCATCTCACTACTAAGAGTTCCGAATTCGTTCTGTGTCTCAGTTTTAAGCTACAGGGTGGCGCAAAAGTCGCGCACCATAGGGTAAATTACAGTAAGTGTTCGAATCGTCTGCCATTTACTTGAAAACACCGATTCGATGCACACATGATGTTTGAAGATATCGTAACTCCACCTTCTCGTCTTTTGTTAATTTTGCAGTCATCACTTACCTGCAAAGAATGAAACAATAATTAATGTAGAGCAACAGTGAAATCCACTATGTACGCGACTTTTGCGCCACCCTGTATATGTGTCGTTCAAAATCTGTTGGCGATAACTATTGGATCGAGAGCTCAAAAAGTTCTACAATTTTCACACTATGAGGCCTAATTTCCGCGATGAGTATAGCATCGTACTGAATGCCTTCCTGGGAGAAGTGCTCACAACCAACAATGATAGCATGAGGCATTGTCAGCTACGGAAGTTGTTGCTATCCTATCTGCTGCCAATAATCATGTCATACTTTATCGCGTTACCAATTCCGTCGCCAGTTTAAGACAGTCCTTCGAGTATGTTTGCAGCATCGAGTTGGTGCTCCAATATTATCATTTTTTGAATGTTGGCATTCTCAAAATGCCCCGAAAGTGTGGGGAAGTTTCGACTATTCTGTGGCGGGATCCACTGAGCGTGTGAGAAAGAGATTAGTTCTGGAGTTCCAGTCAGTGGATATGCGTGCATGACGACGTTCACAAAACGCTGCTTCGCAGGATGCTTCCAGGAATGGTGAAACTGACGAGGAAAGAGCAGAGATTCATACACGAAATGTTCTCATTCCACTTAATTCAGCTCGTGCGTGCACGGGCTTTAAGACTAATTCCACTATAGGAACCTAATGCTATGAAGTGGGTCGCTATGAAGTGGATGCGGGAGAACGCACCAACCAAGCCGCGGCAGTGTTTCGGTTGCTAAACGGGCTGTGTGAAGTCGAGCGTTATCATGAAAAAGGTCCACTTTTCGGACGTTCGGCCCATCTGTATACATTTCCACGTTCGTGCAGCGGTCTTCGCACCGTATTGATATTCCTCTGTATATGATTTGGCACAGTAGCGCCTATTACCTTTCTTCGATCCCCTCCCGTTGATAAATTCAATCTCCTCGTATTCCTCTCTGAAAAAATCATCAACGAAATTTGGCATGGTTCTTCCTCTCTGAACACAGAATAGCTGCAGACAATTTGAAGCTCCATCCTCCCAGGGTTGTGGGGATCACTGAATCTGGCTTTTGGAATACTGTATATGAATTTCATTCTCTTTTCTTTTTCCCCTCTGGGTACCCATTCCTGGGAGGTTTTCGGAGGAAAGAGACCAACTATAAGAAAGACATTGACTTGTAGATGACGAAAAGTGGCCTTTTGTTGTTTGCGATACACCATTTTGCCACGAAAAATGAAATTACCTGTCAATTAGGCTTAGAGTGCTGGCTCCGATACCGTCCCCCAGTGTTGCCGGATACCGTGCCCAAATTATGCCCTATTCAGGACTGTTTCAACCATCGTATTGGCGTCTAGATCTTGTTTTTTAATGTATGAGACATTTTTGTGCTGAGTTCTTGAGTTGAGCTGAGAATGAAGCGGTGGCTAGCTGTGATTTTTCTAGATGTGGCAGGATTGCAGATATCTTATCCAGACATCCCTGAATTAACAGGATGGTGAGCACCATAGATTTCATGCTTCCTGGAGGCATTCTCTCCTCAGACCTATTCGAGATGGTTTGAGGAACGCCAGATAGGCCTAACGTTCCGTGTCCCACTATAGTGGTTCATGAAACGCGAAACAGACCTCAAATCGGTCTAACGTTACACGTCTCAAGGAGAAGCCTCAAAGAGCACGGATTCACCTTTATAGACCATAGAGAAGAGAAACCATTTTATAATTGTGCATGGTCGCATGTTCCACACGTTTCAGAATACCTCTAAACACAAGAGATCGCTTTTGGTTTGACGACAACATCAGCGTCTCCAATTTTGTCACATCCCACATTCTCCGGAGGGATGGTGAAGATCAGGCTCGGGCACATGGAACAGAGGGCACAGTCTAGGCGCAAGTCGAGCACTCATATGACGGATATTGGTCCTTGATTCCGGACTAAATACACTCCGATGACTTCCAGGAAAGCTTCGGTGACGCCCCCGGGCGGTGGGCGTCGCCGTGGATGGAGATGGGAACATAGTTGACTGTATTTTATTAGAAATTGCTCTTCAGGCATGGCGCCGTGGCGGCGGTATGTTGAGAGGCGGTATCCATACCGTGGTGACGGGATAAACATTGATGGTATTCCACGGTTTTTCACACCGTGGTGATGATACCGAAAAATGTTGAAGGGGTTGGTATGATTATCGCGAGAACCGTATGATGAAAATACCGGTATGCCGCAACGCCCTCGTCTACAGTGTGGGATGATCCATTTGTCATAGGGACAAGTGGCGTTGCCGATCTTAGTCTTCTCTTCAAGCGTAATGCAAAGAGAAATCCCGAAATTTCGTGTAGAAATCCGGGTTTCTCAAGGCACTGCGCTTTTTTTTTCACTCTCCATATGTAAGAACAAGGGGAAATGCGCCAAAAAAGGATTACGAGCAATCTAAAAGCAAGTTGTCAAAGGAATTATTGGAGGCATTGAAATGATTCACATAGGTCAATTTTCGCATTTTCGATTTCCAAGGAGAAAAATACACCAACATGAATTTTGATTCACAATTACTTTCAGACCGTCAAAATGACAATTTCCAGATAAAATGTGGAAATCAAGATAAGATGAAAAGGAAATGAAGGAAATCAGCTTGGAAGAAGGAATATATCTCATTATTGGAAAGCAAACTATCTTCTAGATTTTCCATCAAAATGTGTGCAGTTCACATGCTGGAATTATTTATTGGAAGATCGGGAAATTGACGCGCCGGGAATGACACTGAAAGGCAATGGGAATCGAGGGCGAGTGAAAGGAGGAAAATGTGTAGGAGGAAAATGTAGCCTGGCACGTGGCGCTGGGGAATACTGAGTCCTTGGAATAAAAAATATTCCTGAGAATTTTCCCCGTTTTTCTTGTGGATCACGTTCACTCCTCCCTGATCTTTCCTCGTTTCCACTACTTGGCTGAGAATCGAGAATGTGCTATATAATACCACTTTCCCCACGAAGAGGCCTCGGTTCCTTCAGTACTGTTCGAACCTGCACGGCAGCATGGAGCGAGTCGCAGCATCCATCGTCTTCGCTTTCGTCCTCCTCCTCCTTCCCTCGGGAAGCCTGGAAGGCAGCAGCACCGCCGCCAGCTGCCCCGACACTGCTCCCTCCCGCTTAACTCGTATGTTCCTTCTACTTCCTCTCTCTTCCCGTGAATCACGGCGTTGTAGCGTGGACTTTCGAATGCTACAAAAAATAAATTTCTGTTTGAACTGAGTTCACGTATAGGACTTTGCTATACGGTATATTTGTATTGTTGCCCTCTGAATCGTCTTTTCGCAATCATATGTCACCTGCACTCAACAGTTCCTCTAAAGCAGCGGTTCCCAGCGGTTGCGAGCATAAAAAAGGGGTCGCGAAGCCACCTGGCAGGGTGATTTTTATTATCGTGCTATATGCAGGGTGATCTATTTTCGAGAGGCGAATGGTATTGATCTTGTCTGTGCATGACGGTGGGGGACGAAATAATTTGCAGCTGTTAGAATGGGGTCAAAGGGTGGAAAAGCTTGGGAAGCGCTGCTCTAAAGAGAAACTTTAACCCATGATTCCAGCCTGAAAACTGAAGCACGCTCCCTTATAAAGGCTTTCCAAGACAAATATAGACATAATAAATTGAAATGCGTCCCTGCGCAGCTAGGATGCGTCAAAAACCACATGAGAAAAATGAAAAAAGTTGCTCTGCTGAACGTCGGGGTTTAAAGAGAGGCATGCTAGACATGAGGAAAGTCAAAAGCGCAACAATCTATCACGCTCGTGCAAAGCCACTGTCTTATTGATGGGTTTCTTTGCACGGCTCCATATGCAAATGCGTTCATCGAGATGCATGGACTATTGTCCATGCATCTCGGATTTGACGTAGCATTATTTCAGTAAATCTTCTTTGGAACCATCGATGCGAGATACAGAAGAATCAAAGCTAACGACCCCAAGTACACGTCATGCAGCAGCTGTCAGATGCTGCACACAAAGTAATTGGGGCATCGAAAGGATCCAAATCGGTCGATTTTCAAATTTTCATTCATTCAAACCCCCCCCCCCCCTTTCCTCCTCACACTCAATGTATTGACATGATGGTAGGTAATTGACATGCAATCTCCCTGTTCAGTGACGACTACACCGTGCGGACGTTCGAGCTCTGTCTCAACGAGTCGAACCTGGCTCAATCTGGTATGGAACAACTTCCTGAGCTTCATGATGGGAAACACGGGTCTGGCGAGACAGAGCGACCTGATCTACGGCGGGTCTCCGGCCACCATCACGGAAGCCCCCTTCATGGCCCACGTCGATGCGCAGTTCCCCAGCGGCAAGGTTGGTGGCTGCAGTGCTTCTATCATCAGCGAGTACAGGATCCTCACTGCCGCTCACTGTGTCGTCGACGAAAACAAGTTAGAGCGTACAGAATGCCTCCATTTTTTCCCCTAGAAACTTAAATTTTTCTTTGACGGAACAGGTGGAGAAAAAAATATCGAGGAACTGCGAGAATGTGCGCATGCAAGATAACTATGTTTGCGGTGGGATATGAAACGTTTGAGAAACCAGAATTTACCCAATGCAACAAAAATTCTTTTTGAACAAGTGTACATTCTGAAAAGAAAATCCATTTCTAATTATAGCCTAGTCAATAGTGAAAACACGAACCATTCCATTTGCCCATATTCCCTCGACTGTTCCTTGTAAAAGGGGTAATATTTTAGTAGTTAATATGAGCGAACAGTAAAAACAGGTTGGTTTACAACACGGAGTTCCTGAATAACACATCAAACAATCGAACTTGAAACTCTTTTTTTTTCCAAGACTGCTCACAGACGAGGCGGAGGAAACTTTCCTGGCGCCGGCATACTTTTTAATTTTTAATGGAACGATGTGAAATAGTCCATGCACGTTTTCGAAGGCTTGCGTATTGGAGAGTTTTTAACATTCAAATACCAATGATTCCTCGATAGGAGCTGCCTGAACTATCCCGAAAGGCTTTTTCGAAATTATTTGCAGCCATGAAAGTGCGAACGTCATGACCGAGTCGTTCGCAGCACCTGCGGACGTCCACTTAAGTACTAGTTTATATCGCATAATTGACCGAATGATCGATTTAAAAAAAAGTTCTGCTCTGTTGGAGGTGTCCCTTGGTGGACGATGGCACGTTGGTAGACACGTTCAAATAAGAACATTTCATAAATATTTTGCCATTTTAAAAGCTAGCATAAAAGACAGCACAAACACACGTTGCAGTTCGATGTATTACAGCTATGAGAGACATGAGGAAGCGTGTGCGACCTGTCTTGGCCTTAGGCAGGGAGGTAGTGATATCCTCAAGGCCAAAGTGCCCGCTTTTATAGTGGAACGTTTCGCTGACGTCATCAC